ACCCTCCCCCACCCCCCCTTCTGCGGAACCACGCTCCCAAGCCACCCTCAGCCTGCACTAGGTCCAACATGGGCACAGGCATCACCCTGCTATGGCAGACAGCTTTTTTCCCCTGAAAACAACAGTTATAAGGGACCAAGAAGAGTACAGGGATCCAGTCTAACAGCAGCTTGATCTGCTCCCCACTGAGGCTGATGGTCCCTCCCTGCCCTGGGCTGGCACTGCTGCCTTTGCAGCTCGAGGAGCTGCAAGCTCGACTGCAGCTCGAGGAGCTGAGTTGGCAGAAACTGCGTGACAGAGAAAATAAACCCACGATGAGGTTTTGACCAGATCAGCTCATTAAACCACAGAATGTCCCAGTGTGCAAACACTAGAGCAGCGCTGGGGAGAGGCAGAACCTCATGACTGCGACCTCAGAACCCCCCATTCATTTTAGCTGTTGTGCGTTCACAGACAGCAAATGACTGCAGCATCCTACTCACCAATTCTTAATTCCATTCTGGGAAGCTTTTAGCGCCACATTCCTATGATCATATTCCCTCCAACAGTAGAACATTCCATTCCTTGGGAAATATTTATCATTAAAATATTAATTCTTCAATTTAAAAAATCAAGAAAACCCAACAATGTGCAAACATGAAAGCTTTTGATTGTTTGACTTGCTGGTTAAACACAGGAACATAGGACACACTGAGGCAATACGTAGTAAATAGACTGACTGGTAATTTCATACCCCTCTGTATTTTGATAGAAGAGTTATTTATTTCTTTCCTGCTTCATTAGGTCCAAAAAACACATCCCATTAAAAACATCCCTTCTCCCAGCCCCAAGTGTACAACCAGAGATAAGCCAATTGCTAAAAATATCAAAAAGAGAAATAACTGCAGGACATTGATAGATAGCAAAATAAATTAAAACTATCAGAGTTATCTAATCCATCACAATGAAGACATTTCAAAACCCCCACAAGCTAAGAACGCCAGGCTGCAAGGCTCTGCACAAAGAGCACTCAGCACTCACCTTCCCCAGCAACAGCTCGCAGGCTTGTAGAGGAGCAGAATCAGCAGCTCCCATGGTACAGAGCGCTCTGGCCTTTGGGCATAACGTTGGCTTAATGAAGGATGGTCCCCAGAGCAGCTCCTGCCTAGCAGCTGCCTCCTGCTGTGGTCCTGGCCATCAGCAATGCTGCTCTGCAGGACAGCAAGAATGGGCCTGCAACTCGTGGACACTGGGAATGTGGGGAAAAGCTGATGGATTTGTCACCTCATTTGTGCTCAATCCCTTTGGATGGATGTCACAGAACCCCAGCCTGGTTTGAAGCTCATCCAGCTCCAACCCCTGCCACGGGCAGGGACACCTTCCACTAGAGCAGGTTGCTCCAAGCCCCTGTGTCCAACCTGGCCTTGAACACTGCCAGGGATGGGGCAGCCACAGCTTCTCTGGGCACCCTGTGCCAGTGCCTCAGCACCCTCCCAGGGAAGAGCTTCTGCCTCAGAGCTCATCTCAGTCTCCCCTCTGGCAGGTTCAAGCCATTCCCCTTGTCCTGTCCCTACATCCCTTGTCCAAAGCCCCTCTCCAGGTTTCCTGGAGCCCCTTTAGGCACTGGAGCTGCTCTAAGGTGTCCCCTTCAGGAGCCTTCTCTTCTCCAGCTGCCCCAGCCCAGCTCTCACAGCCTGGCTCCAGAGCAGAGCGGCTCCAGCCCTCGCAGCAGCTCCGGGGCCTCCTCTGGCCTCGTTCCAACAGCTCCACATCCCTCTTGTGCTGCTGCCCCAGAGCTGGTCAGGGTTGCAGGGGGTTCTTCCCAGAGCGCAGCAGAGGGGGACAATGCCCTCCCTTGACCTGCTGTCCTGTGAATCCTCAAAGCTCCCCGACATTACCACAGATGTGGTCCCCAGTGGAAGGAGCCACTCTCCTAAATGAGCCTACAGTTCCTGCAACACAAGCTGAGGGAACATAACTCAGAAGAGCCAGTGCTAAAAAGATTTATAATCCCTCCATTTACTTTGTAATTAGCTGTGATCTGATCTTGAGTGAGGGTCTTCACGGCTTTCTGCAGTTTACAAAGCAACCGTTTTGCTGCTCAGTGCTGTTAATAGTGAAAACAGAGCAGTCTTCTCTATTCTTTTTCTCAAACCCTGAACAATTTGTGGTTTGGATGTGGAGCTACCAAACTTCTCAGAACATTCACGATAAACCTCAAGAAAATCCATTCTTCATTAAGAAGAGAAGATGTTTGCTCTAACAGAGGTCATCAACCTCTCCTCCAGTGACTTACTTGCAGATCTCAAGGTTTCAATACGTGAAACAGCCCAAGGCTGGGCCATAACCTGTCTCTTCCTTTGTGAAATGTTCTCTGAGCTTTGCAATTTGCGTTCAAAAAGTTAATCAATAGGTTACATTTCTTCATTTCACCTTTAACTATCCCTGTGTGATTCCACATTAGGTTGGCCAACTCGAGAGCTGCTGTGATGGAAACGAAGCGGCATCAATGGGAGCACAGTGCTGAGATGCCCAGAAAGGAGCATTTCCACCTCTCATCACTCCCTGTACACAAGAGATCTGACAAGTTCACAGACAAGAGGAGATAATCCTCTGGACAAGTGCACAGAGGAAAATTCCATCGCTGTAGCCTAACCAGGAGCAAGGGAGGGAAGGCAGCGAGGCACGGAAAACGCTGCAGGGAGGGACTGCCACACACTCGTCCTGCTCAGCTGCATTTGGAAGCGACCATTGTGGGAAACCAGGAGTCCAAGGTTAAATGGATGTCTGATATGATTCAATATAGTTGCTTTCATGTCCTGATTCTCAAGCCTCCTCCAGTTTTGTGACTCCAGCAAACTGCTCTGTACCATAAACAGTTTCTGGGTTGGATGCTTCACAAGCCAGCCAGGCACCGGCTGTTCTTACATAAAAAGCACAAAAATCCACATTCTTCTAGCAAACAGTGACAGGGAGGTGAAACAGTGTCTCATGGTCCTCTGGCCACCAGGACAGCATGAACATGCTGCAGCCTCTGTAAGTATTTTAATGGCCTGGACTATATGGCTTACAAAGTGGTACCATACAGCAGATTTCATCTCAAAGCCATGGTGGGTTAGAAGACACCTGAGGAAGATAAGCAGTACTTACATGCCAACTGCAGACTCCTAAAACTCAAGATCTAAGCACACCCAGACCTTAATCTAATTTAGACAATTCCCTTCCAATAAGAAAACCAACAGGAAAATGTGGTTTTCATATGAACAATAGAAAGTTGTCACTAGCAAACTGCAGAAATAATACAAATCTTCACCTTTAGTCAATTTGACCAGTGTCATTTGGTGCTAGTACAATTTTTCCCTAATATGTTATCAACAAATGCACTCACAGGAGTCACTATTTAAAACATCCTTCCCAAACCTTGGTTTAACTGTGATAATATGTTTTTGTTTCTACTAAATATTTAAAGTTAAAAGTTTCTCCTGAACCAGAGTACCACCACTCTGGAGCTCTGAGGCTAACTCGTGATTGACACACTCTCTGTATTTAGTTTAGAGAAGGATTACCTCTGTCAATCAGTTCCACTGAAAAATGACAGCATGTGAGAACGAAAGAGAGAAAATTATACAAAGGAGAAACACATTTGTTGGGTGTTGGAAAGGAAACAGATTCCAGCACATCAAAAGAGAAGATAAAACAACAATAAACACAGAGTAGCACACTTGAACAACATCACTTTAAGTTTATAGTGTGACTAGAACTTGTCACAGCCAGCAGCTTCCCCAGCCTGCTCCCTCGTGCCAGGCAGGGCTGGTTTGGCTGTGCAGGCACCTGAACGTGCCTTGGGTGGCTGCTGCCTGCGAAGGCTTGTGGTTAAGCTCTTCACTCCATCTGAGGAGAGAAATGCACCATTTCCAGTGCTTACCATGGCCCACTGCCTGGCTTTGATCCTCATCTGATTGTAGCTGCGCTCTTCAGCATACAAGGCACTCATGAAGGCACCAATAGATGTTCCTCCGATCATATCCACAGGGATGCCAGCTTCAATCAGCGCTCTGATCACACCCACTTGGGAGCAGCCCCTGTGCCAAGACAAGAAAAAGGCATGATCAGACTAACAGCCACTGGAAGAGCACAAAGACATGGATGCCACCTTCTAAGGGAATGCGAGTGTGCACCAGCTGAACTGCCAGAAACAAGTATTAGGAATGCAGGAATGTTCAGAGACTCCCTGAGGATCCCAGGAGATGCTGAGCAGGAGCCTGACCACAGTGTGAAAGGTGGCGACATGAAAACAACAGCCAAGAATCAAGCCAGAGGATATGTGAGGGAAAAGTCAACATGGATTTGAGAGAGGAATGACATCAAAACATCTGCTGGGTTCTTCCAAAACAGCCAGGGATGGCTGGATTTCAGAGACCTTTCCACAAGCTTTTTTTCCCCAGTGATTCTTCAAAGAAACTCAGTCAGCCTGGGACCACAGGATGGGTCACTGCATGGATTAATAATGAATTTGAAGATGGAAAACAAAGAGCAAGAAGAAACAAACAGTTATGAGAAGGCCTAAGTTTCATCTGCACACAGAGCCAGGAAAGGGGCGGATAAAGAGGCAACAGAGAAGCTGTAGCTGCCCCATCCCTGGCAGTGTTCAAGGCCAGGTTGGGCACAGGGGCTTGGAGCAACCTGCTCTAGTGGAGGGTGTCCCTGACCGTGGCAGGGGTTGGAACTGGAGGAGCTTTAAGGTCCCTTCCAGCACAAACCATTCTGTGATTTTATGATTTGAGGATGATACAAATTCCTTCAGGACAGTAAACGTATTCTTGATTTCAAGAAGTGCAGAAGGAACTCAGAGCAGTGATGGAGTAAAGTGATAAACAACAGATGAACCTCAGTGCTGATGGGACAAGAGAAGAACAGAAGTAGCAAAGCCCCTACAGCAATGAGCTCTTAACTAGCTCTGCTCACTTGGAGAGATTTTGGAACTACTATGGGTACTCCCTGAGAAATACCAACCTAGTGCTCAGTGGGAATCCAAAAGGGAAATCAAAGGCGGCAGAATAAACCAGATAACTTAAGAACATACATCCAAGATGGACCAGCACTTTGAAAACTGCAAGTAAGCTCAGACTCCTCACTAAAAGGAAATAGCACAACTAGGAAATGACAGAGAGAAGAAGAATTGAGCAGAATATGGAAAGGACTCCACATGAGAAGAAACTAGACTCAAATCTCTGACTGGGGAAGATTATGACTGATCACGACACGCAGGGCCAGCCAATGATACCTCCATGCAGGAAGTTTAATGTAAAGGAAAGAATTTACACACAGACATGGGTATGTAAAGAACAAATTGAGGAAACCACTGTCACCACATGCTGACAAGGTCAAATCACAAATAGATCTAAATGTGGGTGGATGAATCAAAGGTACTAGGCTGTCAGTGGCTACTGAACATGAAAACTCAGGGTGCAACCTCAGGTTCAGAAGCTCAGAGGCCGCTAATTGCTGCACATACACATTTCTGAAGCAACTGCGACAACCTACAATCAGAAATGAGAGAGCAGAGGTGGAACATTTGATCTGATCTTATAGAGTGATCCCTTAATGCTAGAAGGGACGTGTCCTACAGAACTATTATAGGAACAGAGAAATCAGCAGTCGAGGTTGATTGCCATCTTATCAAGCCCCTGCTTTCAAATGCTTTGTCCACTTAATACCAAGCATGTCAATGATTTCATTCCACCTGGATGGATAGTTTGCAGTCTAAGCCATAGAGCAGCAAAAATCTTCCTTTGCTCATTTTCCTGTTCCCCTGTGCTCTATTTCCATCCTCCTTCCCCTTGCTGTTTACTTCCTATAAATACTTGCTAACAGCTGCCAAGTGCACCATAGGTGTCATCTGGCCAAGCTATGTTGAACACATTCTTTCCATCTATATAAATCCCCTCCAGCTGCTGGAATGCTTTGGGACAGGTTCTCGGTTATACTGGTGTAAGTGACTGCAATGACAGATCTGCACTGGTGTAATCCAAGAGCAGGAACTGGCTCATTTAGTTTCCTTTCCAAATGCTCCTTCCCCTGACTTCATAGAGTCCCAGACTGGTTTGGGTTGGAAGGGACCTCAAAGCTCATCCACCTTCCACTAGACCAGATTGTTCAAAGCCCCATCCAACCTGGCCTTACTATTACTTCTTCTCATAAGATGCCCTAAGTTAAAAGGGCTGTATTTCTATCCCTGCCAGAGAAGCTCACTGGTTTTAGGCTTTTAGATCACAGCTATTTCTGCAATCTGCTTCTAGTGCCTGGCGCTTCAGCCTTACTCCTGCATGTAACTCAGTAGCTGACGCTGCTGTTTTGCTGAGGAACAGACCTTACACTATCCAACCTGCTTTCTGGAGAAAGCCTACAACTTGTCTTAACAAATCCACACGGTAAGTACTGTAAAGCACTGCCTGCTCAGAGGGCAATTTTAGAGTAGCTCCAGACTGGATTCTCCCCCTTTAACCTCTTCTGAAGCTGGATCTCCTTATTCATGCATTCAGAAAATACAACGGGTTGTGACCTCTCTGGATTTGTTTTTACTTTGCTGCATGACACCCTTGAATGACTAACAATTGATTACTTCTATTTCAAGCCATCACCCCTGTGTCATGCATCAGCAGAGTCCCTGCCAATACCCAGCTAAACATGTAACAGCCACATTACCACCAACACAAGCATCAATTTTGAAGCACTGACCTGCAAGATGGGACTAAAAGTACTTCTCTTGCTGCTATAAACTGCCAAACTAAATTATGTTTCATTTATACATGAATACAAAGCTGATTCTTTCAGTTCCAGCACCCTGAAGAGGAGGATTCGTGACTGGATGTATTTGTGTAAACTAAATTGCATTTGTGTGAACTATTTCTTCCCTGTGAGGGTGCTGATGCGCTGGCACAGGGTGCCCAGAGAAGCTGTGGCTGCCCCATCCCTGGCAGTGTTCAAGGCCAGGTTGGACACAGGGGCTTGGAGCAACCTGCTCTAGTGGAAGGTGTCCCTGCCCGTGGCAGGGGTTGGGACTGGAGGAGCTTTAAGGTCCCTTCTAACCCAAACCAGTCGGTGTATTATATGTATGATAAATCCTGAAGAAAAGCAAATGTGCCTGAATCCTTCCCCCTCCCCCCCACTTCTCCATGTACCACGCAGCCTCCTGAAAGATGTAAATGGGTTTTTGTTCCACCTCCCTATAGCTTTAGGCCATCATTACCCAGCAACGCTTCTATGTGAAACTTCTCACCAACTCCTCGCAGTTGGTTCTCTCTTGGCCACGCTCCGCAGCTCCCGGCGCACAGGGACAGGATGCCAGGGAAGCTGTGTGCCAGCAGCACGGATCCTGTTCAGTCACAACCTGCCAGAGCCCCACGGACAGCCGGGGTGGGCAGCTCTTATGCTACACCTCAAGAAGAAAAGAAACGGCAGCCAGGAGCTGAGCCCCTGTTAACACTCAGAGTACTAGCGCAGGGAAAACAGGGATCGTGCACTTCTTGTTGTACCAGGCACAGTTTCACAGGGGACTTGTCCTGGTTTAGGGAAACGTGAAAATACAAGTGTTTGGCAAGAGGAGTACAAAGGAAGATCGCTGGTGCCGAGCTGTTTGTACACATCAGTGCAGAGCACTCATGTGGAGCGGGGGAAATCTCGTTACCTGGAGCTAAATGTCATTTACTCTGCAAGAAAGCAGGAGCAGGGTCTTTGTAGATATGAGGAAGGAGTGTCTCGGTGAGGAGATGAGCACAGCACGGTGCTGCAGCTGCTGTTCTTTGCCTTCAAGCCACTCAATGAAGCAGGTGGATGGAGCATTTCCCCTGCCAGGATTGTCCTGGGACAGGGACTCCTGGCACCAAGGACAATTGACAGAGATTGCTGTCCAATAATTTGCAGCAGAACCTGAAGATCTGCCCAAGAAGTGCAGCAGCTACATATTGACAAAACTTCTTTTCCATCATATACCACTCTCTAGGACTGGCCTGATTAAACAGTGCCCTTTGCAAAGAGAGCAGAAATGGCATCAACCAGGTCAAGGAGGAACTGGAAATAAGAGCCCTGCTCCGTTTTCCCCCCAAACTCATGCTCAATGTGCTTCAAAAGCCTCCCAAAGCAACGCTGTACTACTTAAATTCCAAGCATCATTTCTTCTTTACTACTAGTGGTCACAAATAAATGACCACGAAGCAGGGAGAAGAGTTATGGGGTTGAGGACGTGCTTCCCTAAAATAACGCAGCACAGCAAGCAGGGAGCACAGCCTTGCTGGCAGGAGGGATTGCAGGAAAATTCCTGCTCCTGACACAGCCCTTGCTTTCATCCCCTGGGAAATGCCCCTGGCATGTGGCTGTAACGCACGAAGGCCAGAGCACAACTGATAACAGAAACATTCCTCTGCGAGACGTGCACGTGTCAGCTCCACACGTGTCTGCCTGAGCTCAGATTAGACACAGCCCTCAGGAAGAAGTGAGCAAATGCAGTGGGACATCTCACATTAAAGTGTCAGCAGCAATATGGGCTCTCCTCCGTGCTCAGGTCAGGGTTGAAGAAAACACAATTAATACAAAACCAGAGCCTGTGCACCAAGCCACATTTAACACATCAATAGGATGTTGCCTGTCGGTGTTAGAAAGAAAAACACAATACTGTGAGCACACAGAGAGGGGACACTCATTTTCCAGACTGGGACTAAAGGAACAGCAAGGCAGAACTGCAGCTCGATTGTGGTGCCACCTCCAGAGCCTGCTTCAGTTTGAGAAGAGAGGAGAAAACACAGCTCAGGCCCCCCAGCACCCACCTCTTCTCCTGACTGACTCAGCAGGATGAAGGAGATCTCTCTGAACACACTGAAGAGATGCTATTTCCTTTGGTTAAAACCAGGATTAAGGTCAGAGCTGCTGCAGAGCTTTGGTGTGTCACTAACCACAGCCTCCCCAGAGCAGGGGACAAGGCTTGCTGCACCACCTTCCTGATGGAGTTAACTGCCAAAGTAGGTAAAACCAGAGAAATCGCCAAGGGGGCTTTGCTAAGTTCCACTGCAGCCTAACAAACCTGCTA